GGCCCAAATGCCTATGGTCCCCACTTCTATCACATTACCATTGTCCTGTCAGACTGCACCTATGGCCTTATGGGGAATTCTTTATGAGCAGTTGATTGAGGAAGAGAAAACGCCATGCCTGGTTTACAAATGGTTCCATATGGTTTGCAGGCATCATTCAGAAGTGGATAGTGGCAGTCCTGCAGTGCTGTTCTGGCACCTCCCTGAAGGACAGTGGTGAAGGGAAATCTTCCCAATGTGCGGTACTTCGAGTAGTGCACCTGGTGGTTCATTTTGCTTAGAAATTTGATAGCCAGATATGCATTTATATACTGAATCATGGACTGTGACCAGTGGTTTGGTTGGATGGCCAGGGACTTGGAAGGAACATGACTGGAAAATTGATGACAGGGAGGTTAGGGGAAGATGCCTGTGAATAGATAGACCTCTCTGAAAGGGCCTAAGAAGTGAAGATTTTTATATATCATGTGAATGCCCACCACAGGATGATCTTGGCAGAGAAGGATTTTAATAATCATGTGGATAGAATGACACATTCTGTGGAAACCAGTGAACCTCTTTCCCCAGGCACTTCTGTCATTGCTCAGTGGGCTCATGAACAAAAATGGCCATGGTGGCAGGGATAGTGGGTTATGCATGAGCCCAGTAGCATGGACTTACACTCACCAAGGCTGACTTGTCTGCAGTCACTGCTGAGTGACCAGTTTGCCAGCAGTAGAGACCAACACTGAGTCCCGGATATGGTGCCATTTCTAAGAGTGAGCAGTCAGCAATTTGGTGGCAGATTGATTACACTGGATCACTTCTGTTATGGAAAGGGCAGTGTTTTATTCTTACTGGAATAGACACTGGATACAGATTTGCCTTCTTCCCTTTATGTGGTGCTTCTGCCAAAACTATCATCTGTGGACTTACGGAATGCCTTATGTATCATCATGATATTCTACACAGCATAGCCTTGGATCAAGGGAGTCAACAGCAAATGTGGCAGTGGGCTTATGCTCATGGAATTCACTGGTTAACCATGTTTCTCATCATCCTAAAGCAGTTGGCTTGATATAACATAACAGTGGAATGACATTCTAAAGACACAATTAAGCCACCAGCAAAGTGACAATATAAGGTTGGGGCAGTGTTTTCCAGGAGGCTGTATATACTTTAAATCAACATCCATTATATAGCTGTGTTTCTCCCATAGCAATGATTCATGAGTCCAGAAATCAAGAGGTGGAAATGGGAATGGCACCACTTACTATTACTTCTGGTGACTTACAGGATTTTTGTTTCCTGCCCCTGTGACCATATGCTCTGTTGATTTAGATGTTTTAGTTCTAAAGGGAGGGATACTTCCACCAGGAGATACAACACGATTCCATTGAATTAGAAGTTAATGCTACCTGACCACTTTGTGCTCCTCATGCCTTTGGATCAATAAGCTTACCATATTGGCTGGTGTGATCGATCCTGATTACCAAAGGGAAATTGGATTGATACTAGCATAATGGAGGTAAAGAAGAATACGTCTGATATACAGGAGATCCTTTAGGGCATCTTTTAGTACTACCATGTCTTGTGATTATGTCAATGGAAAATTATAGCAACCCTATTCCAATGTAACTACTAGTGGTCCAGATCCCATAATGAAGGTGTGGGTCACTCCACTAGGCAAAGAACCATGATCAACTCAGGGGCTTGCTGAGGGCAAAAGGAATATGGAATGAGTGGTAGAAGAAGGTAGCTTCAAATAACAGCTATGACTGTGTGACCAGTTGCAGAAATAAGGACTAATTTTTTTTAGTATTTCTTTTCTTTGTTATACATGCACACTTGTACTCTGCATATATGTAACAAGTAGCTTTGTTTTCTTCCCTCTCTCATTCCATTACTTATAAAATACAAGCTGTTGATGAGGCTAGTGCATTTTTGGTTTTACACACTTTAGTTGCATCATGTTAGGCTCAAGTATGACTTAATAATTATCTTCATTTAGAGATTATGTATGGTTTAAAGAGATATGTACAGGTGCCAGGTTGACAAGGGGTAGACTCTGTTGGTTAAGGTTATGTGTCAACTTGGCTAGGCTGTGATTCTCAGTGGTTTGGCAGATATTATGTAATCTGCCTCCATTTTGTGATTTTACGTGAGCAGCCATTCAGTTTAAAGGGGAATTTTCTTGGGTTTGTGGCCTGCATCTAGTATATATGGATGTTCTGGCAAAGCTCGCCCTCTGTCAATCCTGCATCTGACCTGTGATCCTCTGACTGCTGGTATTGGGAGGTATGCCAGCCACCTGCCATTTGACCTGCACATTGTGAGATTCACCAGCTCCCGCAACCCCATGAGCTGGCAGCCTACTGTCTGAGTTGCTATTTTGGGTTCCTCACCTCCTACAACCACGTGAGTCAGGAGAAGTCTTCAGTCTGATGCCTGACCAACAGCTTTGGGGTGGTGCACTGGTTAAAGCACTTGGCTACATTCATGTGCTAACCAGAAGATCAGCACTTCGAACCTGCCAACTGTTTCATGAGAGAAAGATGAGGCAGTCTGCTTCCGTAAAGATTTACAGCATTGAAAACATTGTTCTTCATCCTGCTTTGATGAGTAGTGACTGAGGTCTTAAAGTCTTGCGAGTGGCCATCTGACATGCAACTATTAGTCTTTACTTCTCTGGAGCAAAGAAGAGTGAAGAATATCAAAGACGTATGGAAATAGTCCAAGGGACCAGTGGATCATGAGAACCTTAGCCAACATGACCCTACTACCAGAGGAACTAGAGGGTGCCTGGCTATTGATGCCAACTTCTTGGAAAGGGATCAAAACTAGAGATCCTAGATAAAGTGAGAGAACAAATGTGGAACAAAATTCAGAAACAAAAAAAGACCAAGATTACTGGTTAGATAGAGACTGGTGACCCTGAGACTGTGGCCCCAAGTCACCCTTTGGGCCTGGAATTAGACTTAATCCCAGCCAAATGATAGGCAAACCTACAAGATGAACAACCATATCAGGGAGATACACTCCTTAGAACAGTGACTGATGAGAGATCTGAAGGATGACATTTGCACAGGGAGAAAATTAGGCAGGCAAGAATGCATAGGTAAGAAGGACACAGGGAAGTGATAACCACAGGGAGGAGGTGGTAGAGAGCTGTTACATTGTGGAGATTGTAATCAGTGTTTTGAAGCAAAATCTACATGAACTGTTGAATGTAAAACAGAATCTATTTTGTAAAATTGCCCCCAAATCATAATAAGAGTTTTAAAAAATATTCACAGTATTGGAAACCCTATGGGACAGTTTTGCTCTGTCCTATAGAGTCGTTATGAGTTGGAATCAGTTCAGTGTCAGTGGGTTTGGTTTTAGTTAGCCTCCCCAACTGCATGAGCCATTTCCTTGAAATAAATCTCTGTGTGTGTGTGTGTATGTGTGTGTATATATATATATATATACTTCACTGGTTTTGCGTCTCTAGAAATCCCAACTCTATGATATGGATATTTTGAGGAGAATGTTTTTCCCTCACTGGAGTATGCTAATTTAGAATGCTAATTAATACTCAGAAAATTAATGTTTAAGCTCTTACCACAAAAGTGAGTAGCTATTATTTAGTTGGCTTCTAGGAAAATACAGAATTTCTAAATACATGTCATTAGTCTTTGTTATTCTTCTACCTTACTTTCTGTGTCTTTCCATCTGACATTCTGAAGGTTATATTTTTAGTGAATTGAGGATTACATTATTTTTCCATTTCTTATTGTGTTAATTTTTATTTTAATTAAAAAATTTCTTGTGAGAGAGAGAGTAAAGTTTGAGTTATGAAAGTTGCATTATCACTAGAAATAAGGATGAAACCTTCCATTCAGTTTCTTAGTTAAGGAAAGCTTGTGATAATTTTAAATATTTTTGCCAGAAATCTACAAAATGTATAGATTAAAGATAATAAACTACAGTAGTATCAATAGTTAGAGAAATAAATTATTCTTTTTCAGGAAGTTATAGTTGCTCAATCTCAGTATACCATGAGATGTTTCCAGGTCTGGTCTGCATGGATTTATGATGTAAATAAAATATAGAATGTTCAGTTAAATCTTGATTGTGGAATACTGGCCAGTTTCTAATATATGCAGGTGATTACATAATTTTATCTTAACTAGTTTTCAGTCTATAATTTGCCAGAATTCATTTTGCATGGTAGCTTTACCCATAAGTCTTACTTACTTTACTGTAGAAATAATTAGTGAAGAAAACTGTTCATTGATTTCTTTATATAGAATGCTATATAATGGTATCTATGACCTTAAGTTTATTTTCAAATTTTTCTTTAGTGACTTTTTTAAGTAATGAACATTAAAGGCATATCCTTGAGGTTTATACTACAAAACCATTATTCTATAATCATTAAGGGTAATGAATCTAGAATTGCTTTTATATGACTAGTGATTCATGCCTTAAGTTTCCTGCCTTCGAAAAGGTTGTTAATTACCATTTTTTGTTAATGTATTAAGTTGAGCCATGTGAAATGGCTGTTCCTATAAGTTGTTTAAATCCTGGTATTTTTATGTGATTCAGTTTAACATTTACATTTATTCATTCTTCACAGAAGAAAATTAGAGCATATTGTTGTTTAGGTGGTGTGGAGTTGATTTCCACTCACAGCGACTATATGTACAGCAGAACGAATCACTGCCCCGTCCTGCACCATCCTAACGGTTGTTACTATGTTTGAACTAACCCATTGTTACAGTCGCTGTATCAGTCCATCTCTCTGAGGATCTTTTTCTTTTTTACCGATCCTCTACTTTACCAAGTATATTTTGGAAGATTAGGAGCATTTTTCATTGTTATTTTTAACGTATTATCTTCAGAAAATACTATGGTTTCTAAAAGAAACATTTTCTGTATTTGAATGTATTTGACATTTCTATTAAGTTTTTTTTTTTTTTAATTAATTTTATTTCATCTTACATGAATAGAACTTACTGTTTTTTTGACTTTGAAAGGAAAATCAACTATACTATGATCCTTCCACTGGAATTTATTACTACTGTGATGTGGAAAGTGGTCGATACCAATTTCATTCTCGAGTAGATTTGCAGCCTTATCAGACTTCTAGCACGAAACAAAGTAAAGATAAAAAATTGAAGAAGAAAAGAAAGGATCCAGAGTCTGCAACAAATGAAGAAAAGGTAATGTGTCTTCATCATTTATTTTTAAGTTACACAATGGTGATAACAGGGTAAGCCAAAATTTTTTATGAAACTGGAAATCATTTCTTAAATCTGTATTTCAAACATATCCACCAAGATACTAATATATTGTAATCTATCAGTCAAAAAGATTTCAGATGAAGTAAACATGGAATTTTTCACATATTCTCAGTCACTAGAGCTAGAAGGGATTTCTTAAAATTCGAAAGAGGTAGTTTTAGAACAGGCTTAAATCTATGCACAATTCACAATAAAAGAAAAACAGTAAACTTAGAGAAAGGTTTGATTTTCTTATTATATGACCCATTTCTTACCTGTTGAAAACCAGTTGCCATCAGGTCAACTCTGACTCATGGCAGCCCCATGTATGGAGGAGTAGAACTGTGCTCCATGGGGTTTTCAGTGGCCAGTTTTTTGGAAGTAGATCCTCAGGCCTTTTTTCAAGGCATCTCTTAGTGGAGTCAACCTTCCAGTCTTTGAGTTAGCAACCAAAGAAGTTAAATGTTTTCACTACCATCCAGGAAGTCCTGGATTAACAATTTTTTAAAAAAAATCCATTGCTAGCAAGTATGGAATGAGATAGCATATTGGTAACTCTTTTTGGAAAACAGATTGGCTGTATATATCAGTAACAATGAAAAGCATTCATATTCTTCATTTAGAAAATCTTAGTTCTAGCAAATTAATTTCTAAAAAAATCCAATTGAAAGCAGAATACCTTTGAATAATGATTAAAGCAGCATTTATAAGAGCTGAAAAAAAATAGGAGTTTAAATTGAAGTGTATAATACTGAAGTTCAGATATGGAATTAGGGTTTTGTTGGATTTATCTTCTCTGTTTTGTTTCTATTTCTCTTATTTTCACAGACTGTATTTAGGAGTAGAATAATATATGGCTGAAATACTACACATGGTTTTTCTGTTTGTTTTCAAGATCACTGTTTTAATGACTTGAGCTTATTACTGGTGGATTGACCTGTTTGTTTGAAATGATAGGTGTGTAAGCAGTTCTCCCTAGCAATGAGAAGAGAGCGTACAGGGATCCTCAAATGACCCTCCCTGACAGACTAGAAAATGAAAGGTAAAATTACGTTGACAGTTTAGTCCACGTAACTAGTTGCCATAACTGCTTATCTTTATATTCTTTGCCTTTAAATATGTGAATCCCAGGATAGGAACTCAGAAAAAATCCTGATAGAATTTTGAGACTTCCTTGAAGACCTTTAAAGGTAATTGTGAAGAATGAGAAATCATACAGGACATCTTCATTTTTGTTTTTACCCATTTATTTATTTATTTAAAAATACGGAACACTTCACAGATTTGCGTGTCATCCTTGCACAGGAGCCATGCTAATCTCTGTATCGTTCCAGTTTTAGTATATGTGCTGCCGAAGCGAGCACCCATTTATTTTTTATATATACTCTTAAGCCTCACTTTTTGGAGGAAGATGGTATGTGGAGGAGAAAGGAGGTAGAATGAAGAGATTTGAGTAAATACTTTAAAATACATAGTCTCGACACCTGCATGTAAGCCCCTTTTCTTACCTGTTTTAATGAATATTTAACATTCTAGACTGGCAGATAATTTCTAAAAAATAGTGCTTCTGCAAAACACCAATGAGGTACCATCTTGTTCCAACACTAGTAACAAAGTACAACAAGACAGAAAATAACAAATGCTGGCGAGGTTGTGGAGAGAGTGGGACTCTCATATACTGCTGGTGGGACTGTAAAATGGTCCAACCATTGTGGAAAACAGTATGGTGATTCCTTCAAACGCTGGAATTAGAAATACCATTTGACCCAGCCATTCCATTACTAGGTATATACCCTAAAGAAGTAAGAACCATGACAAGAACAGATATATGCCCACCCATGTTCCTCGCAGCACTATTTACAATAGCCAAAAGATGGAAACAACCTAGCTGTCCATCAACTGAGGAATGGATAACCAAACTATGGTACATACACACAATGGAATACTATGCAACGCTAAAGAATAATGTAGAATCTGCAAAACACCGCATAACGTGGATGAACTTGGAGGACATTATGCTGAGTGAAATAAGTCAATCACAAAAGGACAAATTGTATTAGTCTGTTATTGTAAAAGTTAAGGAAAGGTTTATCTATTGAAGGACATTTTCTTTGTTGGTTACCAGGGGTGGGAGGGGAGGGGAGGGAATGCTGTTAGATAGATAGAGATAAATATTGATTTGGGTGAAGAGAAGGGCAATGTACCAAATGTGAGTGACAAATACGACACCATTGAGGATGAGAAAGACAGAGAGAGTACATGGGAGGTACAGACAACAAAGATGAACCCTTTTGCACATACAGTACTACAGTGTCAGTGAAGGCCAACATGGATATATGGGTGGATAGATGGGTGGACAGTCTAAATGATTAGGTATGTGTATGAAATGGGGAGGGTATCCAAGAACATGTATAGGGTTGGCAGACAATGGTGTTATAAGTTTATGTGAATGATCAGAATTCCCAAGTGCATAGTAGAGCTGACAAGGGGTTAAGGTTGTGGTCACGGCTTGGTCACAGCCAGCTACCCAGAGGGACCAAGCAGTTGAAACTGTGGGCTTGGTACCATAGTCGCAGAGGACATCAAGCTCAATTGGCATAACACACTATACAAAACATTGTTCCACCTCATACTTTGGCGAGTAGCAACTGGGATCTTAAAAGCTAGCAAGCTGCCATCTAGATGCAACGATGGGTCTCTCCTCATCCAGAGCAAAGAAGAATGAAAAAAAACCAAAAGTCATGCAAACAATTAGTCCTAGAGTTAGTACACCATCCGATCTGCAGCCTATACAACTGTGAGACCAGAACTAGATGGTGCCCAGCTACCACTGACCACTGTCATCCACTTGGAAGGGGATCTATCTAGGAGATCCTGGATAGAGAGGGAGAACAGTGTGGAACAAAACTCAAAATCATTTGAAGGGAAAAAAAAAAAAGGTGGGGACCAGGTTTGCTGGTCTGATAGAGCCTGGTCGAACCACTGAGACTATGGCCCCTAGCTGCCCACCAGGTCTGGAATTGAACCCACACCTGTGGCTTCCAGCCAAACAAAAGACAGGCATATGAGTTGAACACACGCCTTGGAGAGAACAATCATGGGAGAAAGAAGGGCTGCTTATGCACAGGGAGATAGCTCAGGGAGCAGGAGGGATGGACACTGGAAAGAGGTAACTGTGAGTAGGAAGTGGGAGGGGAGCTGTTGCATTGTGGTAAACTGTGGTCAATGACATGAGACAAAGTATATGTGAACTGCTGTATGGAAAGTGAATTTGCTCTGTAAATCTTCACCCAAATTGCAATTAAAAAAAAAAATAGTACTTCTGGCACTATCACCCATTTATCCCCTGCCAAAGGTGCAGGGAGACCACATCTTCCAACCTCCTGTAACCCCACAAGAGGAAGAGAGAATCACCATCAGTAGCCCAAAGCCTATTTAGACATGCTGCCTCCCTCCAGCCCTTTCACCAACCCTGACACCAACCATTCCTCCCACAGCACCCACCACCTCTCTGCTGGGTTCAATAATTCACTGCAGCGGCCACATAAAACTCACTGATTATGGGGTTTATTTGGGAAGCAACAGGCTACGATTCAAGTTCAGGAACACACTCAGTCTTTCTCAGCCCACCGTCTCTCAGCTGATAGTCTTTCTCCCAGCAGTGCTTGTCTGTCAGTGTCTCTCTCAGCAGTGCATGTCTCTCAAGCCTCTTTAGGCAGTGTGTGTCTCTCACATCTCTTTCTGTCAGCAATGCATGTCTGTGAGTGTCTCTCAGCTGGCAGTGAGAGATTCCTTCTGCTTCTTGGAGGGCTCCTTTTGAGCCTGGCAGAGTGGCCCAACTAACCAATCCCAACATTAGAATTCTGTACACCCGAGAGAGAGTGAACTTGCCAGAAAATTACTTTGTGCTGCTCCCAACAGAAATACTCCAGGTGGATAACTTTAACAATCAGGAGCTACTTAGTTGCTCACAGCAAATTCCACCACAGAGTTTACAAAGACTTATGGCTAGAAAAGCCAAACTATATAATTTACTACACCATATCCCCCTATGTATGTTGTCCTGTAAAGCTAAGCCTTAGAGTTTTTCAACTCCTTGTCCTCGTTCTTATTCCTGGTGTTTTTGTAGTGCTGGAAGCGTATGTAGTTTATCACATTGTAACTGTTTAGCCAGTCTCCAAACTGAATTTATGCTGCTATTAAACGTATGTATTTAAGATATTCTCATATTTTATAAATTAAAAGAAGAGTATATAAATTCACTGCATCATGTTGCTCTAAGGTATAAACAATAATCAGAGCATGTTAAAAACCAAAGGAAAAACAGGTAAATAATTTGTTGCTTGTTCTACGTTTAAAAAATACTTTTGTTCATTTGGCATAAGGCGTGCAAAATACACGTGTATATTAAGAATAAAGGCTTATTCCAGGTAAGTTGGAATTTTAGAATAAGAGCTGTAACTGATTCATCTGTACTTCAAACTGTTGTGTATTATCAAGCCAGCTCTACTGCATTTTAGCAAAACTACCACTCTGCTACCTTAGGTACATTTGACTCTTTAAACTCATGTAGTAAGTAAAGTCAATTCTGTACTTTGTTGACTTGATAATTCATTAAAAATTCAGAAACAAAATTTAGAATAGATACATTCTCTAGGCACATACTGTCCAATAAGGTAGCCACTGGCCGCAGGTGGCTGTTGAGCACTTAAAACATGGCTAGTCCAAATTGCGATGGGCTGTTTAGTGTAAAATAGATTTTGAAGACTTTTTGTTGTTACATGCTGTTGAGTTGGTTCCAACTCTTAGCAACCTTATGTACAACACAACAGAACACTTCCTGGTCCTGTGCCATCCTCATAATTGTTGCTATGCTTGAGCCCATTGTTGCAGCCATGTATCAGTCCATCTCATTGAGGATCTTCCTCTTTTTTGCTGAC